AAGTTTTGTATTTTTATTAAATATGTGGTTATAAAATCTATAATCTTAAAAGCAAGAATTTCTGGTAACCGCAGCCACATGGAGGAAAAAATAAACATTTGTTTTGTTCAAATATCATATATTTTGGATTTTATTACCACAATTATTGCTTCCTGTATCAAAACTGTCACTGGCATACAGTACGGTAATTTTTCCAGTAATTCTTTCCTCGTGTTGTTAAATTTCAAATTATTTTTGTCATTATTAATTTTTTTAAAAGATGTGTAACATTATATCCTTTGCAGAAATAGATATTTCTATGCCTGACAAATTCATGTTAAATTTTAATTTTGCATTTTTTCGCTTTTTTTAAAACGAAAGTATCTAAGTCACAGAAGATAAAAAAATGTTTAGTTGTATATTTTTATTCAAAAAACTATTGTGCAATAATTGTAATATTGTACAATATGATAAATACGGAATGATTTTCGTTATTAAGTTCGTACACGATGTGTTATATTTATATGCATTTCGAAATTTAAAAATAAGTTACAATTACAAAATCATTTATCCCAAATCATGTATTTAAAATAAAGTTTTTTAGTTAATTTTATTTTCATAAATTCATTTAATAAATAAAATCTAAATTATATATATTCTTTCAAAAAAAATAAAAAAAAAAAAACTATTATAATATAAATCTAATTATTGTCAAATCTAATTATAATATTTAATTAATTCGAATTTACTCATAACGAGACATTTAATTTAAAAGCTGAATTCAATTACTGCAATTTTTTTGAGTATTTCAATTATATCGAGAAACTAAAAATTAAAATTCCTTTGTCGCGTACTTATTAATAAACTTGTCGTTTTTGAAAAATAACTTAAACCTCGCCGTGATTGAAAGTAATTCTAAATTTGAATATTATTTTTATACGACTTAATTTTAATAAAAAAATGGAATTAAAGTCAACACATGAAATGGAAGGTGTGTCATTAATGTCATGAGACTAAGTGAAAATCCGCACTTCATTCCATTATTTTTTATAACCGTTACAGAATTATTAGAATAAGAAAAATGAACCTCTTGTTTTTGATGGACCGATTTTTAAATATCGCTTCAAAGTATTAAGATTTTCTGGTTTCATAAAGACGCTAAAAATCTAAAAATTATTAAAAAAATATTTCTTACATATTTTTAATAGGTTATCCCTTTTTATTCACATTCGCTAAGTTTAATCGTTGAATAAATATTTTAAATTACATATTTGAGATGTAATAAAAATTTGGTGATAAATATGAAAAGTAACTCTCTTATAATCTTGTCAAATACCGAATAAAAATATTATAGGAAGAATATTCTAGATATCGAACCCCTTCATAAAAATAATTCCAATTTTTTTTAAATGTAAATCGAATTTTCTGTATCGTTGATTCGGAAAAAGGCAAACGTTTTTTGTTAATCTTTCTGGATTGTATGAAAAAAAAACACGGAGATAAAAGTTTGATCAAAACTACAAGGATATGGAAAAAGTTACCGTAGTTCTGGCTCTATGGAAACACCAAAAAGCAGGGTACTTTTTTTCCCTAAACGCTTTGGTAATGACTTTTGGTAGAATTAACAATAAAATATGTTTTATTACTATGATGTTTGGTTGTAAATGTGGTAAAATTTGGTCATTTTATCATGATATCTTACAGAATGGCATAAAAACCTTTTATACGATTAAATTTACTTTTCAAAATTATATTTTTACTAAATTCGTGGTAATAAGGAACTTAATTTTGAAAATCAGATTGAATAGAAAAGCTACAAATTGAATGGTTTAAATACCATAAATTTTAACTATATTACCAGAATTACGGCTTATTTATCAGATAAGACTCGAGTAGTCTATTACCTGGACTATTTAGCCCTGCGACAAAAGCAGTTTTAAAATCAGTAGGACAAACTTAAAAAGAAAGAAAAAAGAATCATCGTAGCACCATATAGGGCAGTGTTTCCCAAACTTATGACTTTTGTGAACCCTTTCTAAATTTTTCGCAACGCTGTGTACCACTAATAAAAAATTAATGTATTTTTTTAAAAATAAGTTTTTCTTTTTGGTGCAAAGTTTTGTTAATAAGTTTATTTGCATCAGTAAGAAGGATGATATTATTATTGCTATGATAAAAAAATATTGCACGAAAGTTAAAAATCACAACTGACTGTCGTCACTACTAATTATTGAATGTTAACTCTGCAAAAAATAGCCAATAGAAAAATAAGTACTCGTTAATTTTCCTGACTAGCTTTGTTTTTAAATAAAACCTTTTGAAATTTTCGCTTGTTGCAAGATACTTCGCATAAGAACGCGTACCCCCGTTAAACTGTTCCCGTACCCCTGGGGGTACGCGTACCACACTTTGGGAAGCACTGATATAGGGTATAAAAAAACTATAATAACTTTTCTAGGCCCACATTTGACACATAATATTAGTGCTGAAGTAGAATGGTAGTGTAGATTCTACAGTTCTTTTCAATATTTATTTTATGACAGGGCAGTGAGATTGTGTGTAATTGTATTATGTAATTTACTTTTTAATTATATGGTTTAAAACTAAAAATACCACATTTGGTGAAAAAATTTGTAATCTGGGTACCAATTTTATGAAGATAGATTGAAGATTCAGGGGTGCCATATTATGGAGAAGGGACTCTGGGTGCCAATTTATATTGGTGATGATGATAGGCAGGTGAGGTTGGAGTTTGTATTATTGTATTCGTACAAAGGGCCAGTTGAAGACAGTAATGAAAACAGAAGATGATGAATACAGAAGGGTGGTGAAAATAATAGTTGAGCCGGATTAGAATTAATAAAAAGGCTTTTATTTTATGTATAGTATTTGTAGAGCTCGAGATACAAAACTAAATATTATCCATAAATTTCAGTTGAATCAATTCTGCATAATAATATTAATAAGGACAGGCCGTGGGAGACAAATCCCCACGACCTGCCTAATCAAAAGCCAAATTTAAAAAGTACGTGTAATTTGTTCCGATCGGACACAGAAGCATGGGTAGGAGATCCAAAATTGGCGATTTATTAAAATATAGCATAGCCAAAACAAAGCCAATCAGCATATCAATATTGGGTTTCAAATAATACCTTGGCGATCACGAGTCGCCAACAAATTTATGTGAATTATTACAACCATGCAACCGAAACATTTAGCCGTTGGAAAATTAGAATAAAAAGTTATAAATAGATTTTTGTTTTCGATTAAAGGCGACAGTGAATATTTTTCGATTAAAGGCGACAGTGAATATATAAGTCTGCATTAGTAATGAAATAAAAAAAAAAGTATCCGTTACATTGATCTGGAAGAGAAGAAATAAATATTTTATGCTCATTTAAAAGATTAAGTTTTTGATTTATTTTTAAATGTAATTCTATTAATAAAGAATCAGCTTAAGTAATGAAAGATATTTTAAAAGATAGAAAATAAATATGTGTATGCCAATTCTGGCATCACACCACAGATGATAGGAAAACCTGTAAAGAACGCCTAAAAAAAGATGTTTTTAAATATATATAAAAATATAAGCATAGCTAAATAGTTTAAGAAAGTTTCATTTTAAACGTGGATAATTTTCTAACTAGAAACGTTAACCAATTTAGTTGTTGCTTATAAATTATAATCAATACAATTTAAATACTACAATTATTAATAAAATATTTTAAGACGGAAAAAAAGAAACGTATTTTCAAAAATGTTTAAGCATATGTTTCACTTTAAACGTGGATAATTTTATTACTAGAAAAGTTAGTTGTTGCTTATAAATTATAACTAATACAATCTAAATGTCACAAGTATTAAGAGAATACGTAAATGAAAATTAAAAAACGAAACGCATTTTGAAAAATGCTTAGACACATGTTTCATTTTAAACGCGGATAATTTTCTAACTAGGAAAGTTAGCCTATTTAGTTGTTGCTTATAAATTATAATCAATGAAATTTAAATACCACAATTATTAAGAGAATATGTTAAGAAGGAAAAAGAGAAACACATTTTTAAAATTGTTTAAACTTATGTTTCATTTTAAACGTGGATAATTTTATAACTAGAAAAGTTAACCAATTTAGTTGTTGAGTATAAATTATGATCACCACAATTTTAATGACACAACTATTAGCAGAATCCATTAAGAATGAAAAAATAAACACATTTTGGAAAATGTGTTAAAAATGGAGACTTTTTAAATCTGTTTTATTTAAAACGTTAATGATTTTGTAACATGAAAAGTTAACTAAGTTTGTTATTATTTTTAAATTATGATAAAAAAATTCAAACCGCAATTATTGGAGAATATTAAAATAATGAGCAAAAAATTTCTTAATTAAAAAAAAAACACAGAAATTTTAAGAGAATCTGTGTGGACAAAAATATAAAAAATGTGTCAAAAGCTGAAATTTATGTTAAAAATAAATACTTAAGCCTGGCTAATTTCTTAGCAGGAAAATTTAATCAATGTTGTTTTTAATTTTAAATAAGAATCAGCATAATTCAGAAACCACAATTATTCGAAGAATATTTAAATCATAATCAACAAAATTTAAAAAACACAATTATTGGCATAATCCTTAACGAAAGCAAATAATAGGGGAGATTAACAAATAGTCGAAATGAAATTTTATCAGTAATTTTCTTAACAGATAAAATGCGTTTTATTACTAATTTTAAAATAAACTGTCGAGAAGTTTGAGACTTTTCTATGCTAAATTATTCTTAATTTGTATGCGTTTCGTATAATTGCAAAGAACAAACACGAAACACAATATTCCAGAAGACTTTTATGACCCAGAAAAATAACACCCTTAACAAATCCCCAATTCTACGCTAAATAACCCGTAAAAAAGTTAAGGTATCAAACGTCATATTTAGACGTCACGAAAGGCGGTTCGGAGAGGAAGAGCGCTGTGATCTCTGATTGGGTAGAGAAGCCGGGAACCCAAAAGGCGCGTGGGCGAAATGGAATTGACAGGTATTTGAAAGCATATAAAATTCGAGAACATCTTCATTTTTCTTCCACTTCAAAACTCACTCGATTTACTTCCAACAATTCCCCTCATTTACCAAACGAATTAAAGCGCAAAGAAAATAATTTTTTTTTAATTAAAAAGCAGTCCTAATTTTAATTTTCATTTCAACATGCTGATTCACGTCAGTTGTTTCTTGATGATGTTGATCAATTCAGCGCTTACTGCTCAGGTATGATTAAATGGTTTTTTCATTTATATGTGCAGGTGTAGAACTTTTATGTGAAATTTCACCAAAAGCATGCAAAAAAAAAAAATTTATGTCCGTTTGTAAATATATAATTCTGCAACTTTAATCTAAATGTCATCTATTCATTTAATGTTGTTTTCTCTTAAACGAAGAAAAAATCTGTAAAACGTTTTCATCCAAATATGTTTTACTTATATTTTATTGGTGGTACATAGATTCTAGGCTGAGAAATAAATTAATGCGCTTTATTTTATGTAAAGGAGGTGTAAAATTTTTTTCCCTGAATTTTTTTTTTTATCTTTATTTTCTTTGAAAATATTTATTTCAATTGAAAAACGAATGATTTAATCAGATGTGTATTATAAACATGAACGCGCTAATTCCGCTAGCTGAAAATTTGCCACCATCGCGGTAATTTTTTTGCATTGCTAGAAAAGAAAACTTTCTTCTCAAAGAAGTACATCATTTTCGAATTCCCAAAATAAAAATATTATTTTTTTACTCTATTTCCCACAAGAATTTTTTACGCATTCGAGATTTAATATTTGATTCAAGTAGTTTAAAATCGCACATCGCAATTCGTGTTCATATGTTTTTAAATAACACATCGCGATTCGTATTAGGCGATTTCGATATTAGGCGATTTAAGATCGTGCATCGTATTTTTACCGTTATAATCAAATATCGCTTCTCGTATTCACCCGATTTTGAAATCAAACATCGAGATTCGTCCTAACGCTATTTTAAAATCAAACATCGAGATCAGTACCACGCGATTTTAAAATTAAATAACGAGATTCGCATTCACGTAATTTAAAAATCTCACATTGAGGTTCACATTCACACAATATAAATAATAAAGTGACTTGGCGACGAAACGGTTGAAAATACTCACGAGAATTAATCAATTGCGTGCAGTAAGTTTTTTAATTGAGATTCTGTGAAAGCAGAAAGTGTTTCATTTTATCCAAGTCTGGATATAATTTTTTACAGAAATGATTATTATATTTTTTTTTCAAATTTTCTTTTTAAGCTATTGTTAAATTCATTGCATAATTGAAGGACTTAGTGGAAGAACCGGTTAACTGAGATTTTGGTCAATTTGAGTAAATGAGAGCTAAAGTTTATACGTTCCTCCTTTTTTTTTCATTCAATTTTTATCTTTTTAGTATGTTTTGTGAAGGTATAACTCTGAAAATTTTTGCTGTTCCAGTTATTTGATTCCAACTCTTTTATAAAGGAAGATTTTGATGATTTTTGTGCTTGTTTTTACGGACTATTTTAAATGTTCTCATCGAATATAATTTTGTTTAAATAGATAAAATAAATATACATATATTTAGACTTATATTCATAGAATAAAATTTTAGCAATCATAATTTGGAACAAACTGGTATCAAATTTCATCTAGACTTGTTAGTCAAAAAGCAGATCAGAAGAGATTCAGAGGCAGCGTGAGCTCAACTTTCGCGGAGTAGATGTTTCACAGCTATGTATCGCTTTAATTGGCGAGAATTCGATAATTTTTGATTTTAAAATAGTATTCTCTTAAGGTATCTTTCTGACTTGTACAAAAACATGATTTTCGGCAAAATTTTCGAAATTGAGTTTATTATAAATTTAGAATCCCTGTACTTTTAGCTTTCTAAAAATACTTTACTTTTGTTTGCCGGTTTTTTCATCCAATGAATACTGAAATAATGTCACTTAGCCGGTTCTTCCACTGAATATCTTCGAAATGAATAGATTTAGCGAAATAAAGGAATGTTTAAATAAAGCTAAATTAAGGACTTTCGCCTAGAAATCTAAAATTTCTTTTGAAAATGTCACTTACCCGGTTCTTCCACTAAGCTTTTCAATTAGAGTAACAAGACATCAAAGTTTTTGGTTAATCGAAATATTTTTAAATCGATATTTAAATAAATTGCAAAAAATCTTTGTGCACATATTATAAGTTTTAAATACAATTATTTATATAGCAGAGTTGCTTAGCCTATTTAAAAAATAAATCAATTTTTAAGCAGAAAATACATTTATAAATTCTTTATTTTTTTCAAATATAATCATTGGTATACTAGTGATGCATATTATTTAATTTTAACGATTGTAAAAGTAAACTAAAAATATTACATTCGCAAACTTTAAACTTCTTAATAGTAGCAAATCTGTATTGCAAATTATTTTGTTTGAATAATTAAAACATATTTTAAAAGCAAATTTGTGCATATTTTATAACTTATTTTAAAATAAATAATTAGCATGGCATTGTTTTTTTATGAATTCCTACTTAATAATTTCAAAATCATATTAATTTTAGTAATCCAAAAGTTCAATTTATTTTTACACTGTATTCCATTTACTTGTGTTAAATGTTGTGAAACCAACTGAAAGAACCAACTAGAGAGAATTTTTAAAGATAAATTTATTTAACAAATTTGAAAAGTCCCTAAATACAAAAAGGGATAAATTTTTTTAATTAAAAAGTTTCAAGCAATCAACTGTATTTTTTTTAAAGAAATAAGTAATGCATTTTCGGCTGAAATCAATTAATAAAAATTAATGCTTAAGCTATGGGAAATATTTTAATTTTCAATTAAAAGAACTACATTCAGAATACACATGTGATAAGTGCATTGTTTACTTCATTAGAAAATGTTTTTTTTTTAATAATTGCGTTTTAAATAAAGTAAAGCTACAGCACCGGTAATAAATCATGGGTGTCGTCTAGGTTAAGGTTCGACCAACGTCATGATGGTAACAATAATGTCAGCATTGTTCACCTACCACCTTTACTTCTAAAACAAGCTTTTACCCATCTGTCATGCTGAAATATGCATAACATATTTCTGAACATTTAAAAACCAAATTATAATCTTATTTAATAATTTTTCAATAAATAAAAATCATTAATATTTCAACATGACACCATTGATCTGAAAATAAACTTACTGCAAGCCGTTATCGGAGATAAAACCCCGGTCGCTAATTTACAATCCAGCAGACTTTAACGACTAACTCNTTTTTTTTTTTTTTTTTTGAAAGACTTTCCTCTTGGCTGTAGTTGGTCACAACTATAATGCAAGCTTATATTTCCTTTAAAATTTGTGACCAGAGCTAAAAAAAAAATAACAATTTTTAAAATTAAGAAAATGTCAAACAAAAGATCGGGTCGTTAAAGGCCTCTGGATTGGAAAATCGCGCACCCCAGTCTTTCGCAGGGATAGCACAGTATCTTAAACACTTCTCCCTAGCAACCCGCATTTTATGCATTTGTCAAAATAATTACTCGCTATCATATGTCTCGGTAAGTTTCTTTTAATATGCATTTTCTGTGAATTAGCTATGGCCATAAATAATTTGAAACATTTTTTTTTTCATACAGCCTGTTATTGTCTGTTTTATTTGAAAATGTATCACTATTCACTAAAATAAATACTAATAAGTACGATTTTTTTCATATTTTAAGTTATTTTACCTAAGAATCTTTCATCAATGCTTAAAATTAATATTACAATAAACTTTTTTATTTCAAACTTTTAGTCATTTTTCGCTAGAATTTTTATATTTATAATTGCAATTTTATTTTCCAATTTTTTATCGTTAATTCCCAGTATTTTTAAACACATTCTTTTTTTTTCAAGGTTTATTGTTACGCTACGTTACTTTACTTTTACAAAAGTTTATGAACAATAAACCCTGAAATTAAAGTTAGATTTAAAAAAATTGACTTTATAATATTTGCTCAAATGTAATAAATAATGTAACAAGCAAAATATTTGTAAACTTAAACATTTCGATACAAATGAAAACTGAAGATGGAACGTATTTGTGTACTACTCTTAACCCTTTGAAACTGTTCGTCTGATCTGAGCTACCATCTTAAAGTGCCAAACTTGCTTAAAGTATCAAACTTACTTAAAGTGCCAAACTTACTTAAAGTGACAAACTTACTTAAAGTACCAAAAAAATGCGACCATGAAAGGCAAATAAAATAAAATATAACACACATTATAGCTTTGAATAATAAAATTCATTATTTCATTTCTAAGAATTTTGATGGGCAACCTTTTAATCGAGCTTTGCAGTTAAAATATTGAGGATATGAATCTTACAAAACGTCATATTCTCGTATTTGTTAAATAATGGGGGAAATTTAAATTTCATTAGATAATTCCCAGATTTTTAGAACTCAATATTATTTTTTCGATTATCAGATTAATACATTAAATACATTATTTCGGAAATATATTTTTGACGCTTTTGAATTAAATTTGTAATTGTAAATGTTGTTCAATGAAACTATTGTGTTCAGATAAAATATTTAAAACAAATTAAATGTCTAAATAACATAAGTTTTGATGGAAGAAATCCGCTACATGCACGCAATCAGTTACAATAACCTAACTTCTGATTTTAACTTGCAACTACAATCGAAGTTTAATTAACTTTTTTTAGAAAAAACAATCAAACTGGAAATTGAATCTTTGTTTTAAATCTTTTATTTATGACCTTTATTATGCAGTTTTGCTATGTTTTTTTAAATGCCTCCATTTTGCTGATTGAAGATTTCTACTAAACAATAGATTTCAGGAAATAGTTAAAAATAAAACAAAACTTAAAACATTTTAGATTATTCTTATTTATAAAACGAATTCATAGAATAAATGTAGCAATTTTGATTTAAGTTTCAAATGTTCAATAAATATTTAGTTCAATGAATGATGATATTTCAGGACTTATAGTGATTTAAAAAAAACTTGTATTCTTTTTATCGAATCAAATACTGCACTGAGAAAAAAAATATAGTCAAAACTACCAAAATGTGGTATTATTTACTTATGTTTGTACTCTTTAGGAACAATAAAAAGATCGGTAAATTTTTACCGAAGTACTTTGGTAATGGTTGTGGTAAAATGAACAATGAAATGTGATTTCATAATATGTGATAAAATTTGATAATTTTATCATGATACCTTAGAGTT